TGAACAGTGGAACCTAAGAGTTGTTTAGCATAGTGAAATTATTGTGCATGATACATGGGCAGTACATGTCATTATACACATGTCAAAACCCTTAGACTGCACAACAAAAAGAGTGAATTCTAATGTAAACTCTAGACTTTAGCTAATAGTATGTCAGTATTGCCTCAGCAGTTTTAGTAAATGCACACTAATGAATCTGCTAATGACAGAGACTACTGTGAGTGGGAGACGTGCGTATATAGGCATCATCTCTACGTTCCCCTCAACACATTCGAAACCCTAAAACTGCTCAGAAAAGATGTCAATTCGTTTAGAAACAAAGAAACAGGAAGTAGAGAAAGACTGTCCATTTTTTTCAAAGAGCTTGGCTAGAAATACAAAAAGAGAAGATAATACCAAATGAATCTAGCGAGGTCTGGTTTTTCTTAAGCTGTGGGGATGTTTATAGTCCATGCCAAAGGTCAGCAAATATTTTCAGTAAAAGGGTCAGATGATAAATCTGTTAAATATTTTAGGTTTTCAGGCCAAAGTAGTTACATGATAAGAGAGGTATATTTTCACAAAATTTTTTAATGACAAATACTGAGTAAACTTTTTTCAGTTGGTGTACTAATGAAGATAATAGAATTTGGGGGCTATCATTTTACTTGATTGGGATTCCAAGTGTTTCCTGTCATCAAAACTAATGGCATATTTTCATCTGTTAATGCTTGTCTTTAATGAGAGTTTACATACTTCATCTTTGAGAATGTCTTTTCAAACTGATGACAGTTAAGTTCACAAGAGCAGATGAAATTCTCTATGGATACCAGTGGTGCAGTAACACATGATAATATTCAAATATTTTTCACAAAGTATCTGCTTTCAAGTAATACAGTGAATCACCATAGTTTAAACCTTACATTTCACAAGCTTTGTAAATTTTCCCAACTAAGTCTTTTTCTGATCTGCCCATTTAATTTTTTAAAATTGTGATGAAAACGTAACATAACATTTACCATTTTGGACCAGTTTTGGTGGCTCATGCCTGTAATCCATCACTTTGGGAGGCCAAGGTGGGAGGATCACTTGAGATCAACCTAGGCAACATAGTGAGACCTCATCTCTACAAAAAATTAAAAATTTAACCAGGTGTGGTGGTGCACATCTGTAGTCCCAGCTACTGGGGCTGAGGTGGAAGGATCACCTGACTTCAGGAAGTCAAAGCTCGGGGGAGTCATGATTTACCCTGGATAACACAGACCCTGACTCAAAAATAAAAGTAAAATAGAAATTTACCATCTTAGCCATTTTTAAGTGTACGGTTTAGTAGTATATTCACATTGTCGTTCAACAGTTCTCCAGAAGTCTTTCATCTTGCAACACTGAAACTCTGTACCCTATTGTCTTAGTGGATTTTGTGCTGCTATAACTGAACATCTGAAACTGCATAATTAATAAAGAACAGAAATGTACTTCTCACAGTCCTAATAGCTGGGAAGACCTAGATCAAGGCACCAGCATCTGCTGAGGCCTTTCTTGCTGTGTTCTCAGATGGCAGAAGACAGAAGGGCAAAAGGGGATGAATGCTGTGTGCCCACAGGGCAGAGAGCAGGAGGAAGTCAGTCCACTGTCACATGCCCTTTTCATAATGGCATTAATCCATTCACCACACACTTCCCATCTTCCAGCACTTATGTACTGGGGATTCGGTCTCTAGCACAGGAGTTCCAGGGACATACTCAAACCATGGCACCTAGTAAATAACCACTTACCGTTTTCACTTACCTCTGGGCCCTGGTGACCACCATTCAACTTTCTGCTTCAATGAGTTTGACATTAGAGTGCTCATAAAAGTGGAAGCATACACTATTTCTTTTTGTGACCAGCTTGTTTTACCTAGCATAACATCCACAAGGTCATGTTTGGAGCAGGTGACACGCTTTCCTTCCTTTTTATAGTGGAATAATATTAATTTATACATGTATGTCCCATGTTGTTTATCCGCTCATCTGTTGATGGACATGTGGACTGCTTCAGTCTCATCACTGTTGTGAACAATGCTGCTGTGAACATGGCGTGCAAATATCTCTTCAAGACCCTACTTTCAACTCTTTTGGACATACACCCAGAAGTGGAATTGCTGGATCATATGGCGGTTCTGCTTTCAGTCTTGGAAGAATTGCTCTCCGTGCTGTTCTCCATCCCTTCATATCTCTGCATGAATTGTAATGGAGATTACCTTGAATCTAGGTCATTTTGGATCACGTGGATGCCTTACCAGTGTTGAGTTTTCCAACCCATGAGCATGAGATTTCATTCTATTTATTTGTGTCTATCTTAATGTATTTCAGCACCATTTATAGCTTTCAGTGTTGTCTTTTACTTCCTTGGTTGGGCTTATTCCTACATTTTTATTGTTTTTAATGCTATTTTCAAATGGAACTTTTCCTAATTTCCTTTCGGAAACTTTTCTGAATTTGTTTATTCAGAAAAAAAATTTTTTTTTAATTGTGGAATCTTTAGGATATTTTATGTATAAGATTGTATCTCTGGGAACAGAGATAATTTCAGTTCCACCTTTCCAATATGGATACTTTTTCTTTTTCTTGCCTAGTTGCCCTGGCTAGACTTCCAGTACTATGGTGAATAGAAATGATGAAGGCCTGGATCCTTGTCTTACTCCTGATCTTAGAGGAAAGTCTTTCAGTCTTTTTACCCTTATGGTGTCACCTGTGGGCTTTTTTATATACAGCTTTTATTATGTTGTAGTAGTTTTCTTCTATTCAGTTTTTGAGTATTTTATCATAAGCAGGTGTTAAATCTTGTCCACTGTGTTTTCTGCATCAGCTGAGATAATCATGTGGGTTTGTCCTTCATTTTGTTAATGTGGTGTATAGCATATCTTTTTTATATATTGAACCATCCTTGCATTGCAGAAATAAAAACCACTTTGTCATGGTGTATAATCCTTTTAATATACAATCATGCGTGCATAATGATATTTGGGTCAATAATGGACTGCATATGTGATGGTAGTCCCATAGGATTATAATGCAGCTGAAAAATTCCTAGTGATATTGTAGCTATCATAATGCTGTAATGCAACACATTACTCACGTATTTGTGGTAATGCTGTTGTAAACAAACTTACTGTGCTGCCAGATGTTTAAAGTACAGCCCATACAATTATGTATATAATGCTTGATAATGATAATGTTACTGGTTTATATATTTACTGGTTTATATATTTACCATACTATGCATTTTATCTTTTTTTGATGTGTATCTTAGAATGTTTCTCTGTTGTTAAGTGATTCATTACTGTATATTGAAATGGGGAGAGGAGTTTACTACATAAAATTTTACTGAAATTATGACCTTAACAGAGTATGTGCTTACCACATCTCATTCATTCATAAAAGTACTATTTAGACATTTCTTAACTTAGAGGTGTCTGTGATTCTTTTCGGTTTTTTGAAAGACAGCAGAGTGGTCAGGCGGTAGAAGACAGGAAGGAGCAAGGAGAAAGCATGAGGCCAGGGATTTTATTGAGATTGCCACAGGAAAGGCGAGACACTTAGGACTGGCTAGTTAGAATAATTTTGACAGCCTCTAGACTGTGGGGGTGTCCCCGATTGCCTGGTCCATGGCCCTGGGAAGATTGAGGCAGAGTAAGGTTGAGGCGCAGGGGTCAGGTAGAGGAGGTTTGGCTCCGGCTTGGTTAGTTTGCCTATCAAGAGCATGTTCCAGGCTGAGCCCTTTTGCTGTGTCTAGGAATTGGCAGGCTCAGGGAGGGCAGTCTCTCCCCAACTAGAAAAGATGTTTTGAGATGTCAAAGTATTACAGTGTGCTGAAAATAAAAACACATGCATACAATACACTCAGAATCTTTAGTCCACAGAGTAGATACATGGTTGGCATAGCTATTTTCCTATTGTTATATAATTATGTCCAGGTTTATACTCCTATAAACAATGTAGCAGTAAATATCTTTGTATATGTGTTTTTAGAGGGATGTATTTTAGATAATTTTCTTAAGCTTGTATCCCAGAAGTGGCAGTATTCCATCAAAGCCTTAAAATGTATCTTTATGGTCTTGAAATCATTTAGTAAATGGTATACTTTTGAAGCAAAGTTCATAGACAAATTTAAAATTTTTTTAAAAATTTTTACAAATTAATATTAATTATTAAGATATTTATACAATGTAAACTTGTAAAGAGGAAAGTAAATATTACCTTAATTGCTAAAATTCAACTTAATTAAAACATCTTTCGGGCCGGGCGTAGTGGCTCAATCCTGTAATCCCAGTACTTTGAAAGGCCGAGGTAAGAGGATTGCCTGAGCTCAGGAGTTCGAGACCAGCCTGGGCAACTTGGCAAGACCTCATCTCTACAATAAATCAAAAAAATTAACTGGGTGTGGTGGCTTGTGCCTGTAGTTCGAGCTACTTGGAAGGGTGAGGCGGAAGGATCACCAGAGCCTTGAGGTTGAGGCTGCAGTGGCCGTGAACGTGTCACTGCACTCTAACCTGGGCAACAGAGTGAGACTCCAACTCAAAAAATAAAAAAAACACCAAATAAAATATCTTTTATGTAGCTTTTTCAATAGACATATTTTTATAATTGAGTTTTTTATTACATTTGCTCTTTTGTAACCAACTCTTTTTAAACCCTTTAACATGCCATGGCAATAAATTTAAGTTTAGGTTATCGTTTTAAATGGTTATATATGTACTATAAATTTATGTAATCATCTAAGGTTCAGAGAATATCTTTATATCGATTGATCTCCTTAAACTAAATGTGCTGTTATTGCTGGATAAAAGAAAATACATATTTAAAATGTCAAATACATATGGCCAGATTGTATTGCTTATGCTTTTAAAGTGAAGGCTTTTTGTTGGAGAACTTTTCTGTTTTCTTTTTATTGATAGTTTTTGGAAAATTGTGATAATTAACTTCAGACAACTAAAAATTCAGTTCCTTTATATTTTCCATCTTTTTATCTTTAGCTTTTGCCTATGATGACAGAGCAACTACAGTGGATGCCATTTGTGAATGCCAAACTTCATGAACCTTTTGTAAAATTTATATATTGGTCCCTAAGGCAGCTAGATGCGGGAACACAGGTAATTAATTAATAGGAATCTATTTCAAGTATATGCTATTAAAATTATTTCTCTTGGTCTTGTTTCACAATATTTTGTTTTGAATATATTCTCTTTATATTTCAGAATAATCTTCCCTATTCATAAGATGTCTTTCTGGGGTTTTGCTGGGAACTGCATTAAGCCCATATTTCAATCTGAGAAGAATTGACATATTTACTGTGTTGAGTCTTCCAATTATGAGCACAAAATGTCTCACCACTTATTTAGAACTTTGATTGCTTTCATCAGTGTTGTATAATTTTTAGCATAAAATTCCTGCATTTTAAAAAGTTTCTTAGCTAGGCATTTACATTTTTTGAGTGATTTTAATTGGTGTTTTATTTTGATGTCCACATATTCATTAATAGGATATAGAAATATAATTAATTTTTCCGTATATTTTGTAACCTTTGACCTTGACCTTATTGTTTTTACTTTTTTTGAGGATTCCTCAAGATTTTCTACATAGACAGTCCTATTATCTGCAAATGGAAATGGTTCTCCCCCACCTTTTCCATATGTATGCCTTTAATTTTCTTTTCTCACCTTACTACATTAGTAGAATTTGAGTGGTGAGAGCAGACATCCTTGCCTGTTCCCCATCTTAGGGGGAAGACTTCTATCACCATTCACATATAATATTATCTGTAGTATTTTTTATAGATGCTGTTTATCAAGTTGAGTTAGTTCCCTTGTATTCCTCTTATTCCTCATCAGTGGGTGTTGAATTTATTTGTGGGGTACGATACAGGAGTAGTATACAAGTGTTCATCACACAGGTAAAGTTTGGGCCTTCATTTGGTCCCCACTTTGCTTGGTTTGAGATCAGGTACCCTTTTGATGCTGTGTTCCCTCCCCCCACCCCCACACCAGCAGTATCCCACTATTGCCAATCTCTTTCTTATGGTATTGTGGTAAGTGTTCAGGGTCCACTTATAAGTGAGAACATGTGGTACTCTGTTCTTTGTTTCTGTAATAGATCATTGAGTGTGATAGACTCTGAATCCATCCAAGTTGCTGCAAAATCCGTATGTTTGTCCTTCTTTTTGGCTGCATAATATTCCATTGTGTATATGTACTACATTTTTGTATCCAGTCCACTTTCAGTGGGCAGCACGGTTGGTTCCATGTGTTTGCTATTGTGAATAATGCAATCAATGTGTATGTAAGTATCTTTTTTGTAGAATGGTTTGAGTTCCTCCAGGTATATTCCCAGTAAGGAGATTGCTGGGTCATATGGAAGGTCAGTTTCTAGTTCTTTCAGAAATCACCACACTGTTTTTTGAAGAGGTTGCACTAGTTTGCATTCCCGCCAGCAGTGTAGAAGCACTTCTTTTTCTCCTCATCCTCGCCAGTATTTGTTGTTTGTTTTATTAATGATGGCCATTCTTACTGGGATTAGATGGTATCTCAATGTGGTTTTGATTTGCATTTCTCTGATGATTAGTGAAGCTGAGCACTTTTCCATGTGTCTGTTGACTGCCTGTATATCATCTTTTGAGAAGTGTCTGTTCATGTCTTTTGCCCACTTTTTAATGGGGCTGTTTGTTTTTTCCCTTTTGGTGCATTTGAGTTGCTTTTAGATCCTAGATGTTAGGCCTTTGTCAGATATACAGTTGACAAATATTTTTTCCCATCTGTGGGCTGTCTCCCCTCTCTCTTGATGGTTTCTTTTGCTTTGCAAAAGCTTTTCAATTTGTTGAGGTGTCCCGCTTGTCTGTGTTATCTTTTATGGCATGGGCACTTGGGGTTTTGATCAGGAATCGGTTGCCAGTTCCAATTTTCATAAGGGTGTGTCCTGCATTTTCTATGGTTCTTATAGTTTGAGGTTTTACATTTAGGTCTTTGATCCATTTAGAGTTGATTTTGGTGTATGGTGATAGGTAGGAGTTCTGTTTCAATCTTCTACATGTGGTCAGCCAGTTTTCCCAGCACCATTTACTAAATAGGTTCTCCTCTCACCAGTGGTTGTTGGTGGAGGCTTTGTTGAAGATGAGTTGGTTGAGAAATTGAGGTTTTGCTTCTGGAATCTCTGTCCTGTTCCATTGATCCATATGCCTATTCTTGTACTGTTATGACTTGAGTTGCAAGAAGGAGACACGCCAGCAGGCCAAGTTCAAATTAAGAGTCCTTTATTAACACATGGTCAAGAGTAGGCTATCTCCAAGAAGCTCTTGACACTGGGCAAAATTAGCAAGAAGCTTATAAAGGCAAGAACCATAAGTGGGCTACATAGCAGGAGGGTGAGGGAATGAGGAACTAAAAACAAAAGGGAACAAAATATAGGAACAAACTATAAGGATGTGGCAGAGGAATTTTGCAAGGAATAATTTCTTAACGATTTCTTGGCGCAACATCTGATTTCAGTTAACAAAGCATACAGTTTCACAGAACTTGTGGCTAGGGAGTTTTGCAAACGGTCAGCAGGAACAGTCAGTGTGATCAGCTCAGGGGAACAAAGCTGTGGGTCTATAGTCATGGGAACATTACAACAATCACACGTAGACATTGGGAGGTTATTCTTAGGTCAGACAGGCAGCTACGATGAAGAATTTTTAACAAAATGGAGTTACTTATGCCAAGCAAGCTATTTTAACCAAAGGATAGATATTTCAGTACCAATACCAGGCTGTTTTGATTATTGTAGCTTTATAGTAAATTTTGAAGTCTGGAAGTGTGATACCTCCTGCTTTGTTTCTTCTACTATGGATTATTTTGGCTATTTTGGATCATTCATGTTTCCATGTGTATTTCTGGGGGTTTTTTTTTGTTTTTTGTTTTTTTTGAGTCGGAGTCTCACTCAGTCGCCCAGACTGGAGTGCAGTGGCCGCTCCCGGCCACCGCAGCCTCGACCTGCTGGGCTCTGGCGATCCTTCTGCCTCAGCCTTCCGAGTAGCCAGAATTACAGGCATGCGCTATCATGCCCGGCTGATTTTTTGATTTATTGTAGAGATGAGGTCTTGCTGCCCAGGTGGGTCTCGAACCCGCGGGCTCAGGCAATCCACTCACTTCAGCCTCCCAAAGGCGTGGGATTACAGGCTGAGCCACCGAGCCCGGCTCCATGTGTATTTCTATATCATCATTTCCAGGTCTGAGGAGAGTGATGTTGGTAATTTAATGAGTACTGCGTTGAATGTATAGATTGCCTTTGGTAGCATGGGCATCTTAACAATGTTAATTCTTCCTATCCATGAGCATGGACTATTTTTCCACTTGTTTGTGGCCTCTGGGATTCCTTTGAGCAGTGTTTTGTAGTTTCATTCTAAAGTTCTTTCACTTCTCTGGTTAGGAAGATGCTGAGGTATTTAATTTTTTTGTGGCTATTGTGAATGGGATTGTCCTTTTTATTTGGGTCTCTGCCTGCTTGTGGTTGGTGTATACAAATGCAACTGTCTTTTGCACATTTATTTTGTACCCCGAGACTTTGCCAAACTCTTTTATCAGTGAGAGCAGGTTTTTGACACATTCTCTCAAATTTTCGAGGTATAGGGTTATATTGTCAGCAAAGAGGGCTATCTTCTTCTTTTCCTATTTGAATACCCCTGATTTCCTTCTCTTGTCTATTGCTCTAGCTAGGACTTTCAACACAATGTTGAACAAGAGGGGAAAGAGTGGGCAGCCTTGTCTTGTTCTAGTTTTCAAGGGAAATGTCTCCAGTTTCTGTCAATTTAGCAATATGCTGACTGTGGGTTTTTCATAGATGGTACTTACTATTTTGAGGTATGTTCCTTCAGTGCCTAGGTGTTTGGGGGTTTTTTTCAAGAAGGGATACTGGATTTTATCAAAAGTTTTTTCTGCATCTAATGAGATAATATTGTAGTTCTTGTTTTTATATCTGTTGATGTATTTAATTACATTTATGGTCTTGCAGATGTTGAACCAGCCCTGCATCTTGGGGATGAAGCCTACTTGGTCATGGTGGTTGATTTTTGAGATGTATTATTGGATTCAATTTGCTAAAATCTTATTGAGAGTTTTTGCATCTATGTTCATTAGGGATATTGACCTGTAGTTCTTTTTCTTTGTTGCATCTTTACCCGGTTTTGGTATCAGTGTGATGTTAGCTTTGTAAAATGATTTGGGGAGAATTCCATCTTTCTCAATTACCTGGAATACTTTCAGTAGGGTTGGTATCAGCTCCTCCTTGTACGTTTTGTCGAATTCTGCTGGAAAGCTGTTCAGTCCGGGGCTTTTTCTGTCGGTAGTTTTCTTAGGCCAGAGTCAATTTCCTGGGTTGTTATCGGTCTATTTATTGTCTCAGTGTCTTCTTGTTTCAACCTTGGGATGTCATGTGATATCAGAAAGTCCTCCATTTCATTTAGGTTATCAAGTTTGTTTCCATACAAGTGTGCATAGTAACCTCTGATAATCTTTTGTATTTCTTTGGGGTCAGTTGTGATTTGATCTTTTGCATTTCTGATTGTGTTTATTTGGGCCTTTTCTCTCTTCTTCTGGGTCATTCTGGCTAGGGTCCATCAGTCTTGTTTATTCTTTCAAAGAACAGCTTTTTGTTCTGTTGATGTTTTTGTCTTCTCTGTCCCATATTTGGGCTTTTACTTTGGTCATCTGGATTCTTCTGCTGAAGTTGGGGTTTTGGTGGTCTTGTCTTTCCAGCTCCCTTAGGTGATTTGTTAGGCTGTTAACTTGTGATCTTTCCATTTTCTTGATGTGTGTTCATAGAGACGTAAATTCCCCTCTTAGAACTCTTTTCGTGGCAGCCCAGAGGCTTTGGCAAGATGTTTCTTCACTTTCATTTGTTTCCAGGAATCTTCTGGTTTCTGTTTTGGTTCCACTGTTGACTCAGTAGTTGTTCGTCGTCATGCTGTTTACTGTCCTTGTCTTTGTGGACTTGGGGGGAGTTTTGTTGGTGTTGATGTTTATTTTATTCCACCGTGGTCTGAGAAGCTGCATGGCAGTATATTGATCTTCTGAAATTTGTTTATGCTTGGGTTATGGCCGAGGATGTGATCGATCTTAGA